AAAACTGGAGGAATGCAGCTGGAGCTCGCGGGCAGAGGGACGGCTTCTTGCTCATGGTTTTGCTCACCCCATTGCCCCTGCTTGGAATGGAACGCAGCAGGAGCTCACGGGCTGCAAGTTGCGACACGCGGTATGAGCCTCCGCACCGCACAGGCAGGCAGAAGCAGCAGAGGCGCAAGCAACACAAGAGCAAGCGCTTGGACCAAGCGCCACCTCCTGCCATCACCCCTTCCACCACTCCCCCCTCCACCGTTCCTTACTCCAGCGTTCCCTGCTCTGTATATCCCCCGTCGGCGCTGCAGGCAGTATCAGCCATTCCTTCCAAGTCAACCCTGCCCCATCCCCCCCCCCCCCCTCACCGCACGCCCCACTTAACCCAGCCACTACCGCCCCTGTTGCATGTTCGCTAGCAGCAGCTGATTCTGCAGGCAAGCGAGTGGGAGAAGGTTCTGCTGTCACGCTATGCAGGCTTTGTTTGAAGCACAGCAACCTGTTGGTACTCGTTCTTAGAACTGAAGTATTTGAATAGAGAGAGAGTACAAGGGTATATACCTAAGAGTGTTGTACCCTCTAAGAGGCGACCCTATACAGTCTATACAAACATGAGTTATTCTTATGTTTGACACACCCCCTAGACTGCATAGGGGAATGACCTGAACAAGCAGCTCAGGGCGGCACTACTAGTCCAACCTCTGAGACAAGGGTCTAAAAGACCAGTCAGACGGAGTTGAGACAAGGCAAGAACAAGACCAGGGCGGCACTACTAGTCCAGCCACTAGGAGAGGACACAAGTCCAGTCTGAGTATGCATATAATGGACAGTACAAAGTCAAGGCCCTAGTAAGTGAGAGGCTACAGGAACTAGACCAAGCTGTACGCAGTGCCGCTGATGATCTTTAGGCGCAAGCGCCTTCGTAAAGATATCAGCTGTGTTGGCACCTGAGGCCAAGTGTACTACGCGAGCCTGGCGTCGCTGCTGTAGCTCGCGCAGGAGGAAGTATCGCAGCTGAATATGCTTCGCTCTGCCCTCGAGTCGAGGCTCCTGACACAGGAGGATCATGGCCCTGTTGTCAGCGTACAGGACCGGGGCAGAGCTAGGCCGCTCACCTAAGTCAGTGAGCAAGAAGGTCAGCCAGCGGAGCTCCTGTGCCGCCATGGCACCGGCGTAGATCTCAGCCTCACAGCTGGACAGGGCAACAGATGAGGAGCGGGTAGCTCTCCACGAGACGGCACCTGAGCCAAGGCTGAAGCAGTAGCCCTGGGTAGACCTGAGTGTCTCGGCATCGTCTGCCCAAGAAGCGTCTGTGTGTCCAGTAAGGACCACTGGCCTGCGTCCTCCTAGCACTAACCCCATGCCCGATGTACTAGCAAGATAACGCAAAACCCTCTTAGCGGCAGACCAGTGCTGCGGTCGGTGTCTGCCTGTGGCCACAAAGCGAGCCAGGATGCTGAGAGGGTACGCGAGATCTGGGCGAGTGCAAGTCATCAGGTACATGAGGCAACCCACCAGCTCTGCGTAGGGGCCGCTGGGCTCTACCGACTCCTCAGACACTGGAGCCGAGAGTCTGTGGTCTACAGGCAGAGGGGTGGGCTGTGCAGAGGAGAACTGAAGGCTGAACCTCTGAAGGACCTGGCGCACCAAGTGTGACTGAGTCACGGTGATGGTGCGCGCTGCTCTGTCCCTGGAGATCTGCAAGCCAAGGTAACGGCGCAGTTCTCCAAGGTCAGTGCACGTGTGTCTCTTCAGCAGCTCTGCCTTCACGGAGGCAAGTGCGTCCCTGTCTGCTGTGGCAAAGACCAAGTTGTCGACGTAAACAAGGAAGTAGAACAGAGTCTGGCCAGCACGAACGAAGAGTGAGGGGTCTGCGGAAGACGGAAAGAACTGCAGGTCAGCAAGCGTAGCACGGAGAGTGTCGTGCCACTCACAGGGAGCCTGGCGCAGGCCGTAGACGGGGCGCCGCAGGAGCCACTGGGTCCCAGGAGGGAAGGTGCCAGTAAAGCCCTGAGGGCGACGTAGGTAGACCTGCTCGTGTAGGCTGCCCTGAAGGAAGGCAGTGGAGAAGTCGAGGGAGTGAAGCTCGTAGTCACGCTGAGCAGCTAGGTGTAACAGAACCCGAAGAGTAGTCATCTTCGGGGTCGGAGCGAAGGTCTGGAAGAAGTCCACCCCCTCACGCTGACTGAAGCCTCTAGCCACGTAGCGCGCCTTGAAGACAGGCGGCTCTCCAGGAGGGCGCTTCACCTTGAAGAGCCATCGACCATCGACTACGTTCACCCCAGGCGGGGGAACTGCGTCGACGAAGGTGCCGGTGGATCTCCAAGATGCCATCCCCTGCTCCATGGCAGCTATCCACTGAGAGGCACAAGGTCCCGAGGTCGCCTCAGCGTAAGTGCGAGGGGTCGGGATGTCGAAAGCGTCTGGGTCACCCTCAGGGACTAGCAGCATGGAACAGAGATGGGGAGCAGCCTCGGACAGGAAAGCAAGCTCGAACTGGCGGTCCTCCAGGACGTCACTGCCAAGGGCAGGAGCACCCCCGACAGACGGAGGACAGGCAGGGTCAGAGACCAGAGCGGTGGCGTAGTCAAGGCGGCGGGTAGAGGCGAAGTCAGCGACCGCAGCAACAAGAGCGTCAAGGCACGAGACCGGAACAGACGGGTCGGTAACGAGAGAGGCAAGGACCCGAGGAACAAGAGGACGAGCGGCACGAAGGTAGTCAGACAGCGGGGGGGGTGCAACAACAAGGGAGGACGGAGGAGGCGACGACAGAAAGGGAGGACGAGACGCGTGGGAACGAAGCAACATAGGGTGGGAGCGCAAGACAGGCGAGGCAGGACGAGCACGGGAGGGACGGTGAGACCAGACGTGCGACGGAGGAGTCGGGTCAGGAGACAGGGGAGGGGACACAGGAGGGAAACGAGGAGGAAGACGGGCCGGGGACGAGTCCGGCGGAGGGAACACAGGGCCGTAGACGGGAAGAGGAGGAGACGGTCGGAGAGGAACAGCCGCAGGGTCAGGGGACGGAAGGCCGAGCAGGTGAAGGGCTGACACCGGCGGGGACTGCTGCTACGGCGGCACAACGGCGACACCGGGACTGCAAGCGGCTCCGCGGCTACCACCGGCACACTCCACACCAGCACCCCCAGAGGATCCACCCCCAGGGCTACCGGGACTAGCACCCCAAGAGTCAACGAACGGGTGCTGCGACGGCGGCGGCGGCAGCGGCGGCGACAACGACAGCTGCAGCGGCGGCAGAGGCGGTGGAGGAGGGGACTGGGGAGGGGACGCCGGGGGAGGGGCGGCCGGCGAGGACTGCGCAGCAGGGCCACCAGAGTCAGAAGACTCCTCAACCGGGTCCACCGACGGAAGGGGGGTGACATGGGACACACCAGAGGGGGCAGGACGGGGAGGAGGAGGGGGAGGGGCAGGGACTACCGGGGAAGGAGTGACCAGGAACAGGGGGGGGGTAACCGGGGGACCGCGGTGGGGGAAGCGACGGTAGTAGGAGACGGATTCGTCAAAGGTGACGTCGCGAGAGTGAAAGAAGCGGTGAGACGGCGGGTGGTAAAAGTGCCAGTCGGACGCGTCAAGGGGAAAGCCGAGGAAGACGCAGGGAAGGGTGCGGGCAGTGAGCTCTGCGGTGCAGTGCGGTGCAGCGTAGTGCAATGCGGTACGGTGCGGTGCAGTGCGGTACAGTGCGGTGAAAGGTGGTGGAGAACCGTACCAGGGAGAGTGCAGATCGGACGGTCATAGGGCCGGCGAGGAAGGGCCGGAAGTCGACGCGGGGTCGGCCGGGACAAGCATGGGAGCCGGCTCGGACGGGCGCGGGACCGGCAGGGACGGGCGCGGGGCCGGCTGGAACGGGCGCGGGGCCGGCTGGGACAGGCGCGGGGCCGGCTGGGACGGGCGCGGGGCCTGCTGGGACAGGCGCTGGGCCGGCTGGGACGGGTGCAGGGGCGGCCTGGACGGGCACGAGGGGCTGGCTAGGACGGTCGCGGGGCCGGCTGGAACAGGTGCAGGGCCGGCTGGGAGGGGCACGGGGCCGGCTGGGACGATCGCGGGGCCGGCTGGGACGGTCGCGGGGCCGGCAGGGACGGTCGCGGGGCCGGCTGGGACGGTCGCGGGGCCGGCTGGGACGATCGCGGGGCCGGCTGGGACGGTCGCGGGGCCGGCTGGGACGGTCGCGGGGCCGGCAGGGACGGTCGCGGGGCCGGCTGGGACGGTCGCGGGGCCGGCTGGGACGGTCGCGGGACCGGCTGGGACGGTCGCGGGGCCGGCTGGGACGGTCGCGGGGCTGGAGCGACGGGCTAGGAAAGGCGCGACGGGCTAGGAAAGGCGCGACAGGCTGGGTAAGGCGCGACGGGCTAGGAGTCGCGCGACAGGGCCAGGAGGCACCAACGGGGGGCCCAGGAGGGGCGGGACGGGTGCTAGGGGGCGCGACGGGCCCAGGGGAGCGTGACGGGGCCCAGGGGGCGCAACGGGGCCCAGGGGGGCGTGACGGGGCCCAGGGGGGCGTGACGGGGCCCAGGGGACGCGACAGGGCCCAGGGGGGCGCGACGGGGCCCAGGGGGGCACGACGGGCCCAGGGGGGGGCGCGACTGGTCCTAGGTGACGCGACGGGGACCAGAGGGGCGCGACGGGCCCAGGGGGGGGCGCGACTGGTCCTAGGTGACGCGACGGGGCCTAGGGGGCGCGACGCACGGGGGTAGATCCTAGGGCGGAAGCGTGGGGGGGCGGTGGGACCTACCTCCTGCTGATACCATCTAAGAACTGAAGAATGTTTGAATAGAGAGAGAGTACAAGGGTATATACCTAAGAGTGTTGTACCCTCTAAGAGGCGACCCTATACAGTCTATACAAACATGAGTTATGCTTATGTTTGACACTCGTGTCTGAATCTCCATTTCAAGCTGCTTCTGTGGCTGTATTGCAACCCCGCCCATCTCTCTGCTACAGCATCTCGTCACTCCCTGATTGGTAACATAACACCACTTGCTGCTCAGTATAAAGGTCAAAACCGTATGAAGAGTGGTTTGGCAGAAATAAATCCAATACATTTGGGAGAATCAGCCCACTAATATTAGTCCTATGGATGTATGCTACCTAAGTATACGTTCAGCCCACTGTACAATACATGTGGAGTCACCGAACCAGCACTTACGGCTGCACGGGCATGACTTGTCTGGCGCGGCCGTACGCGGTATAAGCGCAATCCACAGCAAGCACATCGCTCGCCTCGTACGACCTGGGTGTGCCATCAAGGAAGCCCTTGCCCTCCGCGCCATCGGCGGAGATCGGACGGTGCAGGCTCGCGATCAGGCGCTGGAAGTCCGCGGCGCGCTGCGAGTGATCCGCGCGATACGTCTGTCCGAGCACGCCGTGAATCTCCTCCGTGTGCTCCAGCTCCGCAATTCCCACATTGATGTGCGCCTCGGCGTCGGTCGGGGTTTGCAGCTTGGGGTGAGCCACGCGCAGGCGGAGGTCGAGCGAAACCAGGCCGTCGATCGTGAGCAGGTAGTAATCGACATCGAACGGTCCCTCCTTCTCGAGCCCGCGGAATTCGACCTTGAGCCCGCCGGCGCCGGTAACGCTGTCGCCGACCTGCATGCGAGGGATCTCCTCGCCGTCGATCTCGATGCTCTTCATGAATCCCTCGCCGCGCTCCTGCTGCTTGCCGCCGCGCGCCGCCAGCCGAATCTTGTGGTCCACGCCGCCGGCAGTCCACACGATGCCGAGCTCCTTGATCCACGTGTGCACTGCCTTGCCGTCGACGACCAGCGCCGCGTTGTCGGTCCTCTCGTCGTAGTAACCGCGGAGGAGCATGTTCACGTGGAGGTCGCGGTCGGTGAGCAGGCAGAAGGCCTTGTCGGGGCGGCCGTTGAAGTCGAAGTGCGTGCCGTGCGCGCCCACCAGATGCGGGTCGTTGAGGATCTTCGCCGCGGGGTTGCACTCGCCGCCGATGCGCACCTGCAGGGGCACGGGCTTCGTCTCCGTGCTGTACTGCGCGGTCATCTCTCCGCACGTGAAGTCAATCTGGTCGTGAATCAGGTAGCACGCGCCCTTGCCCTTCTTTCCGTCAATCGTGATATCGGGGATGTACTGCCAGTACGTGCACAGGGGCGTCGAGGCGCACGTGTTGCAGCACGACGCGGGGTTCGCCTTGAGCAGCGTCAGCGGGTTACCCGGCACGTACAGCTCGTAACCGAGCTTGTTCTTCTGCAGGTAGGCGGTCTTCCACTTGGCGGCGATTCCGCCCTTGGAGCAGTTCTTGGGCGTGCACGCTCCCGCCAGCTCCTTGTTCAAACCGGGCGGGCACTTTTGCGCGTTCCACCCCGCTTTCTTCACGTCAGCCATGAAAAACGTATCCTGAGCGGTATCGACGTAGGTAACACCGGCCGCGTCGCCTGACGCAGCAGCCTTCGCGATCGCGGCGGGGATTTCGGTCATGAGCCCGTCGTCCTTCTTGCTGCTCAGGTCGGGCTTCTCGTTGGCGGACGAGCTCGTGATGGGGCTGCCGGCGCGCGCGACGGCGACGAGCAGCGCCAGGGAGAGCGCGAGAAGCGCGGCTCTGGCCATTCTCACGCGCTGGGAGGGACGGGTATCGAGAACGAAGCTGCTATATACACTCAAGCTGTATGGAGATCGTCACTGGAAATCTGACTGGTTTCTGATCTGACTTTTGTGCGCTGGGAAAGCCACTTGCTTGCTGTGAGAGAGGAATAGCCGAGGGAGTGGTTTTATGCGGGAGGTAAGGGGAAGGATGAGTCTGGCTTGGGCCCTGCCTGCTGCTGCGAGTTGCAGGGCGAGCGAGTGACCTGACCTCACCTGATGGGGCTGGTGCTTCCGTGCCGCGTTGTTTGCTCGTGGGTGGTTATTTCAGGTGTGCTCCACTCCACTCACTTATCGAGCCGCAGGTCTCCTAGACGCACCAAGGGAATTCGGAACAGGTTTCAGGCGGATTGCGTACCCGTTATGAGGAGAGTTACAGGGAAATAGTGTCCGTAATTTTGTAAGAGCATATTATTTCTGAACCCCATCTATCTATGGCAATGACACATTCAGATTCATCAACACCATCACCATTGCTTTCGGCATCATTCAGAACCAGCCTCCAATAATGAATCGCAAATGAGTCTACCTCCTCCCACCAAGTACAGTATACTGTTACTCGCCTATCTTCTTTGGGTTCCACACACCTGTTGCACGTACCACCCACCGCACCACCCTTCTCCTTCCCACCTCAGCATTCTCATCTCCAACCAATACCATCAACCTCTCCTCCTCACTACCACTACCATCCCCGCTACGATGCGCATCACCAGCCATCGTAGGTGTGGCACCTATAAATCAGTCGCCTATTCTCTCCATAGTCCACATGCTACCTGTGGCACGTGCCACCACCACCCTACTCCTTCCTGCTCCAGCTGCACCAATCCCCACTCCCCAGCACCACTCTCGCCTCACCCCTGCCACCACCATCCTGGCTATCATGGCCACCACCAACAATGATTTCTGGTGAGGTAAGTCACTCCCCTATTCTCTCCATTCGGCGAATGGAGACCGGAAGGGGGGGCATTCGGCTGAATGGAATTGACGGGAAGGGAAGGCGGGCACGTCAGTGTGGTGGGGGGGGGGGGGGGAGGGGAGAAGGGCGGTGAGAGGGAACGAGAAATGAGACTTTGGGGTAGAGGGAAGAGCCCAGCACCACGTACGGCCGCTGCGGGACAAAGAACACTGCCCCTCCTGCGTCCATCACCCCCTCCTCCACGTCAGCTACTGCGCCCTCTGCTTTAACCACACTCGCACCCTCCACACTCCCTTCACTGTCACTCTCTCTGATCCCTGTCGTCTCTGTGCTGCTTGGATCTGACTTGGGAATCTGACTTGGAATCTGACATGGGAGTCTCTGACCTGGGTATCTGACCTGGGAATGTGACCTGGGAATCTGACGCGGGAATCTGACCTGGTGATTTGACTCGAGATTATGACTTGGGGATCTGACTTGGGGATCTGACTTGGGGATCTGACTTGGGAATCTGACTGGAATCTGACTTGGAATCTGACCTGGGAATGTGACATGGGAATGTGACATGGGAATCTGACCTGGGGATCTGACTAGAGAATATGACTTGGGAATCTGACCTGAGGATGTGACTTGGGAATCTGACTCGGGAATAAGACTTGGGAATCTGACTTGGAATCCGACCTGGGAATCTGACCTGGCAAAGTGACCTGGGAATCTGACCTGGGAATCTGACCTGGGAATCTGACTTGGGAATGTGACCTGGGAATGTGACATGGGAATCTGACCTGGGGATGTGACGCGAGATTATGCCTTGGGAACTGACTGACCTGGGGAACTGACTTGCGAATCTGTCTTGGGAATAAGACTTGGGAATCTGACTGGAATCTGACCTGAGAATCTGACCTGGGAATCTGACCTGGGAATCTAACCTGGAATCTGACGTGGGAATGTGACCTGGGAAAGTGACCTGGGAATTTGACCTGGGAATGTGACATGGGAATCTGACATGGGAAGCGGACCTAGGAATCTGACCAGGGAGTCTGACCTGGGAATGTGACCTAGGAATCTGACCTGGGAATCTGACATGGGATTCTGACTTGGGAATCTGGCTTGGGAATGTGACTTGGGAATCTGACTGGAATCTGACTTGGAATCTGACCTGGGAATTTGATCTGGGGATCTGATTCAAGATTATGACTTGGGATTTGACCTGGGGATCTGACTTCGGAAACTTACTTGGAATCCGACCTGGGAATCTGACCTGGGAATCTGACCCGGGAGTCTGACCTGCGAATATGACCAGGGAAAGTGACCTGGGAATCTCACCAGGGAATCTGATCTGGGAATCTGACCTGGGGATCTGACTTGGGAATCTGACCTGGGAGTCTGACCTGGGAATCTGACCTGGCAATCTGACCTGGCTAGGGGATCTGACTCGAGATAATGACTTGGGAACTGACCTGGGGACCTGACCTGGGAATCGGACTTGGAATCTGACCTTGGAATTTGACCTGGGAATCTGACCTGGGAATCTGACATGGGCATCTGACCTGGCAATCTGACCTGGGGATCTGACTCGAGATTATGACTTGGGAATCTAACCTGGGGAGATGACTTGGGACTCTGATTTGGGAATACGACTTGGGAATCTGACTGGAATCTAACCTGGGAATCTGACCTGCAAATGTGACATGGGAATCGGACCTGGGAATCTGACCTGGTGATCTGACTCGAAATTATGACTTGGGGATCTGACTTGGGAAAAGGACTTGGGAATCACAGTGGAATCTGACTCCGAATCTGACCTGGGAATCTGACCTGGGAATGTGACATGGGAATCTTACCTGGGAATCTGACCTGGGGAGTCTGACTAGGGAAAAAGACTTGGGAAACTTACTGGAATCTTACTTGGAATCTGACATGGGAATCTGACCTGGGAATCTGACCTGGGACTCTGACCTGGGAATGTGACATGGGAATCTGACCTGGGGATCTGACACGAGATTATGACTTGGGAATCAGACTGGAATGTGACTTCGAATCTGACCTGGGAATCTGATCTGGGAATGTGACATGGGAATCTTACCGGGGAATCTGACCTGGGGAGTCTGACTAGGGAATAAGACTGGGGAATCTGACTGGAATCTGACTTGGGAATCTGACTGGAGTCTGACTTGGGAATAAGACTTGGGAATAAGAATTGGGAATGTGACTTGGGAATCTGACTCGGAATCTGACCTGGGAATCAGACCTGGGAATCTGACCTGGGAATCTGACCTGGGAATGTGACATGCGAATCTGACCTGGGAATCTGACCTGGGGATCTGACTCGGAAATCTGACTGGAAATTGACTTGGAATCTGACCTGGGAATCTGACCTGGGAATGTGACCTGGGAATGTGACATGGGAATGTGACATGGGAATCTGACTTGGGAAGAAGACTTGGGAATAAGACTTGGGAATCTGACTTGGGAATCTGACTCGGAATCTGACCTGGGAATCTGACCTGGGAATCTGACCTGGGAATCTGACATGGGAATCTGACCTGGCAATCTGACCAGGCAATCTGACTTGGGGATCTGACTCGAGATTATGACTTGGGAATCTTACCTGGGGAGATGACTTGGGACTCTGACTTGGGAATACGCCTCGGGAATCTGACTGGAATCTAACCTGGGACTCTGACCTGGGAATGTGACATGGGAATCTGACCTGGGGATCAGACACGATTTTATGACTTGGGAATAAGAATTGGGAATCTGACTTGGGAATCTGACTCGGAATCTGACCTGGGAATCTGACCAGGGAATCTGACCTGAGAATCTGACCTGGGAATCTGACATGGGAATCTGACCTGGGAATCTGACTTGGGGATCTGACTCGAGATTATGACTTGGGGATCTGACATGGGAATAGGACTTGGGAATCAGACTGGAATGTGACTTCGAATCTGACCAGGGAATCAGACCTGGGAATCTGACCTGGGAATCTGACCTGGGGATCTGACTCAAGATTATGACTTGGGAATAAGACTTGGGAATCTGACTTGGGAATCTGACTCGGAATCTGACCTGGGAATCTGACCTGGGAATGTGACATGCGAATCTCACCTGGGAATCTGACCTGGGGATCTGACTAGAGATTATGACTTGGGAATCTGACCTGGGGATCTGACTTGGAAATCTGACTGGAAATTGACTTGGAATCTGACCTGGGAATCTGACCTGGGAATGTGACATGGGAATGTGACGTGGGAATCTGACCTGGGGATCTGACTCGAGATTATGACTTGGGAATAAGACTTGGGAATCTGACTTGGGAATCTGACTCGGAATCTGACCTGGGAACTGACCTGGGAATCTGACCTGGGAATCTGACCTGGGAATCTGACCTGGGAATCTGACATGGGAATCTGACTTGGAAAATATGACCTGGGGATCTGACTCGAGATTATGACTTGGGAATCTAACCTGGGGAGATGACTTGGGACTCTGACTTGGGAATACGACTTGGGAATCTGACTGGAATCTAACCTGGGAATCTGACCTGCAAATGTGACATGGGAATCTGACCTGGGAATCTGACCTGGTGATCTGACTCGAGATTATGACTTGGGGATCTGACCAGGGAATAGGACTTGGGAATCAAACTGGAATCTGACTCCGAATCTGACCTGGGAATAGGACCTGGGAATCTGACCTGGGAATGTGACCTGGGAATCTGACTCGAGATTATGACATGGGAATCGAACCTGGTGACATGGGAATCTGACCTGAGAATCTAACCTGGTGATCTGACTCGAGATTGTGACTTGGGAATAGGACTTGGGAATCAGACTGGAATGTGACTTCGAGTCTGACCTGGGAATCAGACCTGGGAATCTGACCTGGGAATCTGACCAGGGAATGTGACATGCGAATCTGACCTGGGAATCTGACCAGGGGATCTGACTCGAGATTATGACTTGGGAATCGGACCTGGGGATCTGACTTGGAAATCTGACTGGAAATTGACTTGGAATCTGACCTTGGAATCTCACATGGGAATGTGACATGGGAATCTGACCTGGGAATCTGACCTGGGGATCTGACTCGAGATTATGACTCGGGAATCTAACCTGGGGATCTGACTTGGGAATCTGACTTGGGAATAAGACTTGGGAGGCTGATTGGTATATGACTTGGAATGTGACCTGGGAATCTGACCTGGGGATCTGAGTTGAGAATCTGACTGGGGAATATGACTTGGCAATCTGACTGGAATCTGACTTGGAATCCTGGGAATCTGACATGGGAATGTGACATAGGAATCTAACCTGGGGATCTGACTCGAGATTATGACTTGGGAAACTGACCTGGAGATCTGACTTGGGAGTCCGACTAGGGAAAAAGACCTGGGAATCTGACTGGAATCTGACTTGGAATCTGACGTGGGAACCTGACCTGGGAATCTGACCTGGGACTCTGACCTGGGAATCTGACATGGGAATCTGACCTGGGAATCTGACCTGGTGATCTGACTCGAGATTATGACTTGGGAATAAGAATTGGGAATCTGACTTGGAATCTGACCTGGGAATCTGACCTGGGATTCTGACCTGGGAATCTGACCTGGGAATCTGACCTGGGAATCTGACCTGGGGATCTGACTCGAGATTATGACTTGGGAATCTAATCAGGGGATACGACTTGGGAATCTGACTGGAATCTGACTTGGAATCTGACTGGAATTTGACTTGGAATCTGACGTGGGAATCTGACCTGGGAATCTGACCTGCAAAAATGACATGGGAATCTGACCTGGGAATCTGACCTGATGAGCTGCCTCGAGATTATGACTTGGGGATCGGACTTGGGAATAGGACTCGGGAATCAGACTGGAATGGGACTTCGAATCTGACCTGGGAATCTGACCAGGGAATCTGACCTGGGAATTAGACCTGGGAATGTGACATGCGAATCTGACCTGGGAATCTGACCTGGGGATCTGACTCGAGATTATGACTCGGGAATCTAACCTGGGGATCTGACTTGGGAATCTGACTTGGGAATAAGACTTGGGAGGCTGATTGGTATATGACTTGGAATGTGACCTGGGAATCTGACCTGGGGATCTGAGTTGAGAATCTGACTGGGGAATATGACTTGGCAATCTGACTGGAATCTGACTTGGAATCCTGGGAATCTGACATGGGAATGTGACATAGGAATCTAACCTGGGGATCTGACTCGAGATTATGACTTGGGAAACTGACCTGGAGATCTGACTTGGGAGTCCGACTAGGGAAAAAGACCTGGGAATCTGACTGGAATCTGACTTGGAATCTGACGTGGGAACCTGACCTGGGAATCTGACCTGGGACTCTGACCTGGGAATCTGACATGGGAATCTGACCTGGGAATCTGACCTGGTGATCTGACTCGAGATTATGACTTGGGA